ATGATACTCAGGGTCCGTCGTGCCATTGTATATTTTCATGGGCAGTATTTTGAAGGTATTAGGTATGGCGTGCGGTGTAGCTTTGTCACTGTATAGTTTCTTGATGCTCTTTCATTTGGTCGCGGAGCATTTTGTTCTCATTTTCTATCTCTTCCATCTTCCTCAAAATGGTTGTGAGGGTGTCGTTACCTATATCACTAACGTTGTGAGTAATACCAGTTATAAGAGGAGGGCCGTGCTGCTCGTCCGTCGCTGGTGTGACGCAAACTCTCGCATCTTCTCTGTTCGTCCTTTGGGTGGGATTGTCGAGAATACCGGTCAGCGTGTTTTTCAGCCATGCCTCGAGCAACTTGTTCACTACCGGTGGTGCTTCTTCCTTGTGGATGTAGAGACCCCTTTGCCGTGTGAGGCTGTGATGCTGCCATGAGGGAGGGGTGAACCACTCCGCCTGGGGGAGGCATTTGGTGTCACGTCCTCAGCATCTGTCCCAGCGACTTCGTTGATGGTGTTTAGGAGGTTGTTAGGAAGACTGGCTACTGCCTTCACTCTTTCCTCTCCATTACCTGCCATGTTCAACTATGCACGTAAGATAGGACAAGGTTTTGTGTTTTTTTTCAGATCTGAAAGAAACTAAGATTTTAACTAGAAACTCCCCACAGACGGCGCCAAATTATTTGACCAAAAAATGATAATCTTTGGTTAGACTAATTAATCAGTTATTAAGAAGGGTTAATCCTAATTAAAGTTAATAACTTCAGATCTTGAGTTGACCGTACGAACGGTTAGAATAGTGAATAAACGGAATTAATATGCTAACAGTAAATGTGTCAAATGCAATAATGTATATGAAGTATCAAGTATTAAATAATAATCAATGGCAATAAATGTAAATAAGGAGGAAGATTCACCCAATATTGAATGAGATGAATGATTCCTCTTTCCGACAATGATGAATGGCAAGAATATAAGAAAGTGTTGAGCACTTTCTCGGATTTGGTGGAAATGACAATGATAATCCAAAAGATCGAATCTCTCGAGAAAGTTATCCTTTGTATTTATCTAGAAAGCTTACTTTTCAAAAGTGTTCTTATCATATATAATATTACATGTCTTTTGCTTTATCTCTCATGCTATTTATATGGGATATTCCCAAAGAACCCTAAAAGGTACAAATAGAGGGAATATTCAATAGAATATTCCCTCTGAAGGTTCCAAAGCTATACTAGCCGTTACTTTTATCTATGCAGCTCGACCTCGGCCGTGATGAACCACTCAGCGGCTTGTTCTGTTGGTCACTGATCGACCTCAGCCAAACTACCCATATTGATTTGCAGGTCACTCACGACAATCGTCTTCCCGTGTCGAATTTTTCTAGTTCGATTTTGACCCATACAATGTCATCAAAGTCGAATGTCATTGTTAAATGAGGCTATAGATTTATGTTTTCCCTTTCTCTTGAATCATATTTGCTTAAATTATGTTGAAACTTATTTTATGTTATGTTATAATTTTACACAAGAGTATTATGTCAATTTTTTTTGAATTTTGAATTTATGTTATATTTTTGAGTCTATTTTATTTGATTAAGTAGTATTCACTTATTAATTCAGATTGCATGCCATTCATTTTTACTTGATAGATTATTTTTTCGTAAACTATTTAGTTATATTATGGCATGATATTTATAAATATTAATCATTTTATCAAGCATGCAATCCATGATGTTCTTACAATATATGTAGTTTTAATTTTTATAATTTACTAAAGTAAAATGTTAGTAATTTGAAGAATATATTAATTATTTTTACAATATTAATTATAAATATATGATTAGTAATTAATATACTTTCAAGAAACAACATCTATCTTAAATGTTAAATTTAGTATTATTTATAAAGACGTATACATGTTAAATCTTAACTTTTAATTTTTGATAAATAATTTTATATTTAAAATTTTATTTAACTATGTAATTGTACTTGAGCAACTAAACAGTACCTGATAATAGGTGAATTTGACTATAATCACACCTTAAATAATCACCTTCTTGTGTAGTTTTAATGCCAAAAGTGATAACAAAATGCTCTTATGTGCTTTTTATGATTTGCAGGTGATATATGTATAAGGAAGGCTAAGGAGCAGTTTTGGAGTCAAAATTGGAGAAGAGAGGCCAAATGTGTAAATTCCCAATGAAGCTACGCCCTGCCAGCCCTTAGGATTCAGAAAAATGGTTTGGCCGCGGTTCTACCGCGACCGCGGCAGAACCGCGGTGGAAGGCAGCTTCAGAACTTTAGAGATTCAGAGAGGGTGATTGGCCACGGTTCTACCGCGACCGCGGCAGAACCGCGGCAGGCGCAGAAAAGTTCAGGGGTCAAAGTGTCAAATACGGGATTTTTAGACCTAAACCCTATTTAAAACATTATACTTCGCCCAAGAGAGCAGGTATTGATTTTTAGGGTTTCTTAGCAAGGAAAACCATTGTGAGAGAATACTCCAAACATCTTTCTTCTTTACTTTTGATTTTTATGATGAATTCTATCTTAGTTTATTTTCCCATAGCCATGAGTAGCTAAATTCCTTGTCTAAGGTTTTGATGGAACCTATTGGGTGATGAACTTCTTGTTTATGTGAATACAAATTGCTAGTTTAATCTCTATTTGTTCAACTTCGTGTTTGTTGTAGTTAATTGACAGAATCCTCAATTAGTTGTGCCTATTTAGTGTGCATAACTTGGAAAAGAGTGCATATTTAGGGTATTGTTGAACAACACCACTCCTAGATTATTAGAGGAATCTATAATTGCGGGTTTAAAGGCGGGATTAGGGATAACGAAGCCTTGGGTGTAATCTAAAGTGAATCGTGCTAAATAAAGTAAGCTAGTGTATCTCGGGAGAGTGCAATAGTAAATTACTATGATTGCTCGGGAGAGATTTACGGTAAGATTAGCGTTCATGATTGATAGAGATGTGTTGGTAAATTTGTATGAGCATAAACAGAAGGGATTCCATCAATAGGGGAAATCATTGCCTTAGCTTTTTATCATAATTGTTTACAACCTTATTAGTTTAGTTTACAGCTATTTAGTTACTTGCAAGCGTAGTTGTTAAAGAACATTCAACTGAGATTTGAATATTTGGGAAGCTGGTTCTGAAGAATTAGTGGGTCTGAAGATAGTGGTTGATAGGTTAACTCTCTGTGGATTCGACCCTGGGCGTAATACTCGGGTTATATTTGCAACGTCCGCAGAGTCCTTTTTATAAGGCATAGTTGGGCGTGATCAGTACACTTATAATTATATTGTAATTACATTATGACAAACAAATAAGTCGCCGTAATTACAATACTGTGTAGGTCGTATAATTACTAATTACTACCCTAATAATTACCAATTTCAATTAACTGATGGCTTTACCTCGTTAGAAATTGACCGATTCCAGCTGCCAATTCATTTTTGTATTAAGTGAATAGACTTTTAATTACTTTTGGAAAGTAACAGTGTTCAAAGTGAAGGAAATAACTTTGTAGAGGTGAACTGTTTAAATGGAAAATAATAGAACAAGTAATTGCCTGATCAAGATGTGTTGTACGGTATAGTCACCAAATAGAGTCAACCTCCTTTCTCTTTCACATCCAGTTCTCTGTTTGACATTTTAAAACTTCTTCTTCTAATATTTCCCTTTTGTATGAGAATATTCTTGTAGTTGTAGAGCAATTTTAAATAATAAAAATTTATGATAGACTTTGGTGCCACTTAGAGCTAGAGCATAAATCCTATACAGTCAAACCTTTCTATAACAGCTTTGTTTGTCCAGATATTTTTGGCTGTTATAGCGAATTATTGTTATATAAAACATATATTATAATAGAACATAAACTTTGATTCCGGAAAAATTTAGCTTTTATAGTGAAGTGTTGTTATATAAGGATATATATATATATATATATATATATATATATATAATGTAACTATTATAATATACAATTAAAGATAATTATCTCCCCCTTTGCCAACAGTTTGCAAGCTTGCAACACCTCTTAGTGGAGCAGCATAATGTTAGATTCATGGACAATTGACTTGAGGTGATCTAATTAAGCTAGATAATTGTGGTTTTTTAATCATCAATTTATTAAAATTCATTGGACAAGATATTAAAATTGACCGTTTAACTAATTTGAGTATTTTATGGAACAAAATGGAAACAACCATCCACCTTTCACCCCCCATATGCATTTATACCAATCTCTCAATAATTCTCAATCTACAATGCATTATGAATTTCAATCATTTTGTTCACATGTAAGGTATAGAATAATGGAAAATTTATTGTTATATATATATATATATATATATATATATATATATTACAAGTTTGTCCTCACATGAACCAAATTTAACATTATAGAGACATGATAATTCATAAGCATTATTAAAACATTTTGGAAATTAATAAAGCTTTGTGTTCACTACATATTATATTTTACATTTTGGAACATTTTGAAAAGTTTTACGAGTCTAGTAAAAATTAAATTAAGACAATGACATTAAAATTTAAAACATTTTGGAAATTAATAAAGCTTTGTGTTCACTACATATCATATTTTACATCTTTGGAACATTTTGAGAAGTTTTACGAGTCTAGTAAAAATTAAATTAAGACAATGATATTAAAATTTTAAAAAAATGTTAGTTGTATGATGTACCTATAATATGAACATAGTAGTGGTTTCGCACTACGTTTATAAAACACGAAGAAGAAAAGAACTAAGCTGTATCTTTGACTTGTGTTAAGACCTCGTCAAATTCAGAAATTTAAATTGCCAGTAATTATTGCCAAATTCTCTATCCAAATCACCATGTTAAATTCTATCTTTAGAACCAGAATATTAATGATAGGTGTCGGCGTATTTATGGTTTTTTTTTTTCTAATTAATTAGAAAAATAGAAATAATTAAAGAAATATTAGCGCTTGTCCATTAGCTAAGTTATTGGGACACCAATACTTTCGGAGATTGACTATTAATTGGATGTTATATAACACAACTCCTTTCCTATTTTCTCAAATGTCCCTGCCACTCATGTCACTGGTAATAATATTCTCCATTCTCTTCTTCATTTTCTTCTCCTTTTTTTCCCTTCGTTTTTTCTTCCATGTTATACCATCAATATTGACATTACTTTCTTATTTCTTGATTCTTCAAGAATTTCTTGGATTCATCACGTTAATGCCATGGTATATAACTAGAAGCCGATTCATGATTTAAATATGATGGTCAATTTAAGTTTCTTAGCATTGAACATAGTGTACTTTTTTGATTCAGACATTTGTTAGCATTTTAGTAGTTTTCACATAAATATCTATTTTCCATGTTGACAATAATGAGTTTAATTGAACCCGTTGAATATAGACCGCATCCACATGACCAAAATTTATAAGTATATATAACCCCCATTGTATTAAAATTGGTCATGTTTGTTTTGCTTTAATTTGCTCACTTTATGTTTGTCGTTGCATTTTGGACTACTTATATTGATGAATCTACATTTGTTTTGAATATGAACGAAATCTTTGTTTCAGTTCAACTGGTAATTTCTTGCTTTTGAAATATTTTTCTATTCTGACTTCATTTTTTTTTTTTACTTGAAAAGGTGTAGGAAGATTAAAACTCCAATTGTGACAAATTTTGACGATCATCTCCCTGTGCTCAGACAACTAACGTAATTCAATCATGAGTGACAATAAATCAGGACCTCTTGAAAGACCACACAGGCCAAGTAAGTTTTTAATTAACCGTGTGCTGTATTTAATTTGTAGTCTTAATCTTGACACAAAATTGGTGTTTTATCCATCTTCATGTTCTTTGTTAGTTATGTACTTGAAGCATTTGTTCTTTTTCTTAAATAACTATGGTATTTGGGCCAACTTGCACACCTCGATTATTCTACCAGATATATGTTATCTTCCACCAGCACGTGCAGTGGAGGAGCCAAAAATTATAACAAGGGGATTCAAAAATGTAAAAAGACCACCTGATTTTCCTATAGCCTAAAACAAATTTTTGAATCACCTTTGTCACTACACTATAATCTTCCCTTATGCAAAGGAGATGCAACAATTTATGTATATGCAAAACATATCGTGTTTTCCCTATTTACATTGTATAATTTTCGATGAAGAGCGTTCAGTTACCCCCTTGTGTCCACCTAGCTCCGCCTTTGAGCACAGAGGCGGAGCCAATATTTTTAAGTTTATGGTTTCGGGATCCTTATTCTTTTAAGTTACTGGGTTCTAAATTTTGAGACAAATATATGATTTGAACCAAAGCTACTGGGTTCGGCCGAACCCGTAACAGGCACTGTGGCTCCGCCATTGAGCACAGGTAGTTTGGGTAACTTTTCCCACCACGGCATCCTTGATCCTGTCATATGTTTTTTTTTTCCATAATATGCAAAAGTTCCATAAGTTTCAACCCCAGTTTGTTTGTTGTTAGTCTATGTCTTGCATATCAGTTATCCTCTGCGGATGGCTATGCTGTAAAAGCTATGTCAACTTGATTTCTAAGCCAATATATGTATCTGCATATTTGACAGGTCTAGAAAAGATTGACATGGATGAGGATGAGAGGAAGACTAGGCTTGGGTCTATCAAGAAAGCGGCAATTAATGCCTCAGCCAAGTTTAGGAATTCTCTAACAAAGAGGGGCCGCAGACACAGCAGAATCATGTCTGTTGGTTTTGAGGATGAACATGATGCCGAGGAATTAAAGGCAGTTGATGCTTTCCGTCAAGCACTTATCCTTGACGAATTACTTCCCGCAAAACATGACGATTATCATTTGATGCTAAGGTAACCAAAAATCCTCATTTCCTTATGTACATGATAGAAATATACCTTTGTTTTCCATGCTAAGGGGATGTTTTATATAAGAAAAGGGTAAAAAGATATCCTTCTACTAGACAAAATATCTAAATTTTGTGTCCCTGTGTTATACTTTGCGGCCATTCATGATCTTGTTGTTAGCAAATCGTCTCGTATTTGTCCTTATCCCACGCGGAGAAACGGAGGATAATTTGAAACCATATTCAAAAGTAGAGGGATAAATTTGTACCTTTTTCTCCAAGTATTTTGAAACCTGGATCCCATGCTGGAACTCCGTTGAAGGGCAAATACGAGAGGATTTGCTAACGACAATGCATGGCTCTAAAGTGTAACGAAGAGCAAAATTAAGATATTTTAGTAGAGGGATAAATTTGGACCTGTTCTCGAAATATACATGTTTTCATTATGATTGATGTACACAGGTTCCTGAAGGCTAGAAAATTCGATATTGAGAAAACAAAGCAGATGTGGGCTGATATGCTTCAGTGGAGGAGGGAATTTGGTGCAGACACCATAATGGAGGTATATTGAAAATGCTAGTGAGAATTTGCTGGAAAAACTATATAATATATAACATTTTTAGGAACTGATCAATGCATTTTTGCACATCTTTATTAGGACTTTGACTTCAAGGAAAAGGAAGAAGTCCTAAAGTACTATCCTCAAGGGCATCATGGAGTCGACAAGGAAGGGAGACCAGTTTACATTGAAAGAATTGGTCAAGTAGATTCTGTCAAACTATTGCAAGCCACAACAATGGACCGATACCTCAAGTACCACGTACAGGAGTTCGAGAGGACCATTAACGAGAAAATGCCAGCCTGCTCACTTGCAGCCAAAAGACATATTGACACAAGCACAACCATTCTTGATGTCCAAGGAGTGGTATGATTGGATCTCAAAACTACTAAAATTAGAAGGATTTAACTTATATATACACTAACAGTGTTAAAATGTTACGTTCCCTTTATTTTAATCTGTTGTATCAGATAACCTGGGTTATTTTTGAAGAACTAACCTAAATAGCCGCCCACCAAATTGCTTAAACTAAAAATAATCCGGCCAGTTATTTGTGTAAAGATCCCCTTATTATTCGGGTTACTAATCTAATCTACAAATGCCTCAGGGACTTAAGAACTTCAACAAGTCAGCAAGGGATCTCATTCAACGCCTCCAGGCTATTGACGGCAACAACTATCCTGAGGTACTTCTTTCTCTTTCACTCAGCTGAAGCCTTGCATAACAGCCATTCATATGGTAATAAGAGTTTTTTCAAGTCCTTTTGTTTAATTGAATCATTTATCCGCTGTGTAGAGCTTGTGCCGTATGTACATCATCAATGCTGGTTCAGGATTCAGGCTCTTGTGGAACTCTGTCAAGTCATTCCTTGACCCAAAGACCACTCAAAAGATCCATGTAAGTCCTTAATCAGCTTACTTCCAAGCACTGCTTCTGTCATTTTCATTAGAATAACAGAAGTATCATTCTTTCTTCTAGGTTCTAGGCAATAAATACCAAAGCAAGTTGCTTGAAGTAATTGATGCCAGGTAACTCTAGTAGTACTTAATTACTCTTTACTTAAGGTGAAATTGTGCATTGCTGATTAGATTATCGCATGGAGCCTAATTTTGATTTGCTTGTACTGCGTTTTACCAGCGAATTACCAGAGTTCTTAGGTGGCACATGTACTTGTGCTGACAAAGGAGGATGCATGCTTTCTGATAAAGGCCCGTGGAATGATCCAGAAATAATGAAGGTAACTTCCAACCTTGTAATTTTAATACGTTATCTGTCGACTGACAGCACATTATCGCTCAGTAGTATCACTTTCCTTTGACATGCCTGAGATCTGTGATTGATTTGATGTCAGATGGTTCGCAATGGTGAGCATAAATGCTGCTCACACAAAATTGTGGTCTCATTTGATGAGAAAACCATCCCAGAGGATGACAACGCCAACGCCAAGGTGTGTATACTCTCATGTCTGCTGTTTTTCTCAGTTACTTTTATTCTTCATATAATATGAAGTGATTAAATATATCAGATGAGTAATGAAGTCCCTCAATGTTGCAGAATGTAAAGAAGAACACTTCATTTAAAAAAGGAACTGACTCTCCCCACGTTCAAAGGGATAATGTGGCTTATCTTTCCCCTGTCCGCGAGGAAGTAAGTTATTTCTTCCTCCACAATTTTTTAGACTAAAAAGTAAAGTTAATGCAATTTTGCTTTTTACCTACATATCAACAGGAAGAGTAGCTTTTTCAGCTTCTTCACTTCTCTAATACTTCTATGGTTTTCGTATTGCAATACAAGTGATTCATCCTCTACTATACCCTAAACGGAATTCTACGTTTTGGTTTTAATTTTCAGTTTGATATCCCTATCGTGGACAAGGCTGTTGATGCAACTTGGCATAAAGCTGTAAAAGCTAATAACTTTGCCAATTCTAAAGGTACAATATTCGCCCATTATTAAGTGTTTCACATTGGTTGAAGAAATGTGTCGTTGCCTTCTTATATGGTCTTGAACAATCCTTACCTCATGAGATAACTTTCGTGGTTGACTTAGTCTAAGGTTCATTTTTTTAACATAGTATTAGAGCCAAATCCATCTCAATTCTAGGTTTATCCAATATTAGGCCTCATGTTATATTGTTTATGAGGGGAGACCCTCACGTCCGGTTTGGAGGGAGGGCTTTCGAAAAGATGAAGATGCAAGGGGTAAAGAGACAGTCTTTTGAACAACCAAGCTGACATAAGGATTCTAGCTCACGCGCTCCAAATGTCCACCCTGGGCATGCCGCTTAGACACTTTTGTATTGCCGCTTCTAAATTTTGTCGTTAAGTGTTTAAATTTCCTTATATGGTATTGGTTAATCTTCACTTTATGAGCTAACTTTTGAGGTTGAGTTGGTACCTAATATCCATTTTCCTAACACTCTCGTTCCATAGCTGATGTTTTGCTGATTCAAATAACTAAATTTTTTTTCATTCTGCAACATTAACTTGTATTCCTCTATTGATCTACAGATTTCTTCCCTGTGCACGATACTTGTAAATCGCCCGAAGGATTTAGCAACCCTGTATTCAGTGGAGTGATGACTTTAGTCATGGGCATCGTGACACTGGTTCGGATGACTAAGAACATGCCAAGAAAACTTACAGATGCTACCCTCTTGGCTGGTTCTTTGTGTAGTGCTGAAATAATTAAAGGACAGCCTCAGTTAAATGGACATGTCATCTCCACAAAAGATTATATTAGCATGATGAAACGCATGGAAGAGCTCGAGGATAAGGTCATTACTCTTAGCCATAAACCTTCTTCTTTACCACCTGAGAAAGAGGAAATGCTTAACAGTGCCATAAACCGGGTCGAAACTTTGGAGCAAGAGCTTTCTGCTACCAAGAAGGTATTATCTGTCTTTTAATGTTTCTGCTCAACCCTTAAAATGACATGTACTAGACTTAATTATAAGAGTATTTGTCTAACTTATCCGTATCTCTCCTTAAACATCTCAGGTAATGAATAGTGACTTCCTATTGTTTTTCTAAAACGTCAAATGTTTTGAAACAAATCTAGTTTGCCAAAACGACTAATATTTGGGACCAGATGATGTGATTGAGAAGTTTTATTGTGGAATAAGATTTGAGTAAGAGTGCTAATATATTTTACGTTTAACTGGCAGGCTCTTGAAGAAGCACTTGTTCGTCAACAAGAGCTCCTATCCGCCCTTGAGAAGAAAAAGAAGAAGAAGAAGAAGTTCTTTGTTTTCTAAGCGCAAAAGCTTCAAAAAATTTGAAACAGATTGGAAATATTATAGGGTTGTTTGAATTTCTTTAGATAGATGCAGAGATGGTGATTTTTTGCCCAACAAAAGGCTGTTTGAATGATCTCAAATATTTGTAAAATTAACTCTGTAACACTTGAATATTTTTTACATTACCTGCGAGATTTACATTCACCCATATATCCTATGGAGCTCTAATTGTAAATGCCGTATATTATGGCACATTATACATCGGCTTGTATTTTCTGTAAATAAAAATGAAAGCAGTTTGCTGTTTGCTTTTGTTCAAATTACAATAGTTGTTTCCAATGGCAGCAACATTTTTCACTAGACACATTAGATTGTTTTGTCCTCCTTATTCTTGGTAAGATTTGATAAAGCTTTAGAATCAAGAAGGTTAGCTTTTGTACTTAAGATACAAAGATGAGTTACTGAGAAGACTTGGCAAAAATTTACTTCTGCAAATCCATATAAATCATTGTTTGCCTTTGTTCTCTTCTTTTACCATCAACCTCTTCTACTCTTTTATTCCTTATTTTGTTTGCTTTACTTGTTCTTTTAGCTTCATTGTTTCACTTCAATTCACCTAGATGGAGAAATGTTCCATTGCTCAAGTATTAGTGATTGTTGAATAAAAACACTTTCAAATGTTCAGTATGTCAAAAACAAACTTACAGAAAATATAACTTTTCACATTATGAGAAATTGTGCCCCTCATTTTGCAAATGGAACAGAGGATTAAAAAAAAAAAAAAGCACTCAACGCATACTGTGAGTGCTGCCAACACATACATTATAAATATGTATCTCATTTGGATATCACAGATGAAAATCCGAGATCGACGTCCTGAGGCATCTTCATCTTAAAAGCAAAACTTCTTTTTCTGCAGAAAAAGGAATTGTGGATGAAAATCAGCACCAAAGCAAAAATTATAATGCACCAACTTAATAGGAGGAAAATGCACGTGTGCTCTAATTAATATGTTTTTTCTCTCAGCAAGTAAAAAGATTTGCATATTGCTGAAACAACTTCAAATTCTAATTAGGCTAAGTCCTAGTCTGATGTTTGTTCAAATACCATGCAATATAACAGGAACTCACCCGGAACTTGGCAGCTTCTTGACCGTCAATGTAAGCAAGAAGTTCCTCTTGCCTCATCAAAGCCTCATGTAATGCCTGTTCAACCAGAAACAAGCAGGGAAGGAGTTATCGACTCAAGAACCACGAAAAAAGATGTTTGTGATACGAAAAAAAGAACTGTTACTTTCAACAAGACATCATTTAATAAAATGCATACACTGGCATTTGCACCCAGCAAAATAAAATCTCTCTCACCAGCAAAAGTAAAACCAACCACCCCTAACCCTTTTTCCTCTCTCCTTATGTAAAATTCTTTTAGGGATTAACAAACAGTACAAAGTGTTTCATACAGACAACTGCCACAACAATATTTCAAACTATAAACTACATTAATTAAACCAGTAAGTCCCTATGTAAGAAGAACTGCCAGATGAACAATCATAAAAAGAGAAAAAATGCACATTAAAATGCAGGTTCTGGATGGAGCAATAACAAAAGGTTTCCTTGCTTATTTAGAGGAACTTCATAAACGCTTACCTTCTTGGTTGCTATTAACTCAGCTTCTAGGGCATCCACTCGGCAAACTGCTGCATTTAGCAATTCCTCTTTCTCATAAGGCATCTCAGATGGCTTTTCTTGAAGCGTATTTACTTTGTCTTCAAGTTCACCCAATCTCTTGAGAACAACGGAGAGCAGTTGAGCTTCTGTAAAAGCTGGAGTAGGTGAAAGGGGCCGAAAGTCCTCTTTAGCGCTAGCATCAAAAGTAAATTCTTGACCATCTTGGTCTTCCACAGTCGATGAATCTTGTAATTTCTTGGTTACATGGCATGTAATTGAGCGGAAAAGCATCAACACCGTCATGAAGAAGGCCATAAAAAGTCCTATAACTCGAGCACGAAGACCTTCTACAGGTTTTTGAGAGTCCGCTGGTGGAAGCATCGCTGAAAAGGTAAACAAGATGGCACCATGTGATTATAAATTAAACAAATTTATGAGACTACTGTTGTACTAGCGCAACAGCCAGCCTAATATGTCCAAGTTAACCATGGAATAGTAGTCCAGGTCAAACAGAAAGTCTGGTTGCATGACTGCAACGTGCCAGGTAAAAGTTGAACAAACAAGAAATTATTCACATTTTGTATTTTCATGAAAAGAAAATATTCACATTATGTTTTTTCATGAAAAGAAAATATTCACATTATGCAGGTGTTTAAAGCCTGAATAGTGCATGCAACTAAAGAAACAAATTAGGATGATTAGTATTCAAAGTCGTGAAATAAAAACTTCATTTGATGAAAGAGGAGGAAAAAATAAGGAAAATATCAACATCATAACTGCATAAATATAAGCAAACGTGTGAGCACGTACATGTACACCAAACAGTGAGCTAGCTTTTCTTTTTCTTTGATTAGGTGCAAAATAAAAAATTTAAACTACCACTTGAATAAACTATACGAATTCAGAGATATTTATGCTTTCC